GAATAATCTCGAACCGTGCGAATTCCGGAAGTGAAAATGAGAGTTTATTGTTACTTGAAAAATTGAATTTCATCATTAGTTCAGTCTGGAGGAGAGGGAATTCGAGAGAGCCTGCATTCGGGTTGCCAAGTCTTTAAACCCTCACCTGCACCTGCCTTCATCTCGTGTACCTCGTTTTTTTATGTCTCAAACCAGTGTATACAGGTCGTCCCAAAAGTTACTGGTACTGGGGGAAAGTCATTTCTATCTGGGAGTCACTAAACTCTTAGTTGCCATTGCTTTTCCGCATTGTTTATGTAAATAAATTCGTGGGAGAATTATTTACCATGTGAAAACGCGATTTTTTTTTTTCGTTGAGGTGATTGGACGGGTCTGAGGGGCCTCCGGGCTCGGGAAATTCATCGAAACATTTTTTTGGGTCAGGGGAAAAAAGAATTAATTGATGGTGATGATAATAATAATAATAATTATTATTATTATTATTATTATTATTATTATTATTATTATTATATTTGTGCCAAAGTTTCCTCTTCAAAAAAAACTTGAATAAAAAAAAATCGTAATATTGACGTTCTTAAAAAAATAAAATGCGCATGCAATAAAAAATCGCAAAAATTGTCTTTTTAGTTTTCCCCTAGAAAAAAAAATTAGTTATTATTATTATTATTATTATTATTATTATTATTATTATTATTATTATTTAAACATTTTTGTGGGTTATGGAAAGAAGAATTAATTTCTAATAATAATAATAATCGTTTTTTTATTTGGGTTAAAATTTAATGACGAAGTATTTAAATGCCTCATTAAATTCAGATGGTAAGCTTAAGAAAAACTACTGAAATGCGAGAAAAACTTTGAGTGAGAAATTTCCAGCCGAAAGAAGAGGGGAAAATCTGATGGGTATCTTCAAAAATTTGTTCATTTCCTAGGAACTGGGTAAAATGAGTTAAAAGTGATGAGAAGAGGATAAATGATTCTGAGAAATGTTCAAAAATGCGAGGTGATCGACAGGTGTGGACACCGCCATCTTGCGGGGATGCCCCTCCCCCTGGCGGAGGGGATTTACAGATGGCGGCGTGCCGACCTCGTACTTTTAAACATTTCTTAGAATTATTGATTCTTTTCAGATCCCTCTCAGCTCGCGTCAGTCGATTTCTATAGAATGAACAAATTTTTTTCACGTTATTTTTGGGATTTTTCCGTTCCCCTGTGGCGGAAGGGCTTTAAAGATGGCGGCGTGCCCACCTCGCATTTTTAAACATTTCTTAAAATTATTGATTCTCTTCAGATCCCCCTCAGCTCGTGTCATTCGATTTCTAAAAAATGAACAACTTTTTCACGTCATTTTTTGGATTTTTCCGTTCCCCTTTGGCTGAGAATTAATGGCGCAAGGTTTTCCCCGCATTTTCCCTAGTTTTTCTTCACTCCTATGGCCCCAAAAAAATCTGCATCATTTTTTAATCCTGGGGAATCAATCAATCGTATCATTAGTCCTCTAGGCTCCCAAAAAAATTCATCCCCGCCTCGACAAAGGGAAAAATCGCTGAAAATAGCCCTTCGTCATTGAAAAATTGAAACTCTCCTCTCAGGCGCATTTATATTTGTATCGTTTAAATGACCCCTTCTATAAACGTGCCTCGAGGGTAGAATTCAGTGAATGGTTGCAAACAAAGCGGCATGGTCCACGCGTACTCCAAACTCTCCCTTCTCACTCGGTCTCTCGGGTTAATCAATGGGATGACGCAGCTGCGCACTCCCCCCCAGTAAAAACGAGACTCGTCTTTTCCACGCTCGTTTTATACGTGAATTTCAGGACTTTAAAAGCGTCATTAGGGGCCCCATCGGACCCCGGATGGAGCCCACAATGCATCATCGGGGGTTCCTGGAATTGTGTGGGCGATAGATTTTTTTCTCGTCCTACTCGGGCTCGTGGGATGACGCCTTTGGGCTCTTTCTCAACTGTTGGCACTGTCTGGAGGGTCTGGGGTTCAGGTGCCTGCGGGTGGAGACACATGATACAGGTTCATCCCTCGGGGTCTCCCTCGCTCGAAGGAGACACGCAAATTCCTGGAATTTTTTGGTTCTCAACCAAAAAATATTTTTAATTCTTCCGGTAATGAACCGTTCTACCCCAGAGTAATATTTATTTATTCATTATTTTCTGTGAAATCAATTGATTAAAATTAATTGATCAACAATTATTTATGAAATCATTTATTGATGCAAAATTCCTCAAAAAGTGCAATTTCTGATTTTTCAGATTAAAAAATTGAAAAAACCCTAAACAAATGAATAAGTAGACTAATTAATTAATTGATTGATCAAACCGGCGCAGCAGAAGATTATAATAAAACAAAGTGCTTTAATTTAATAAATAATAAATAATTTAATAAATAATTTCATAAAGCATTTATTGATGCAAAATTCCTCAAAAAGTGGAATTTCTGATTTTTCAGATTAAAAAATTGAAAAAACCCTAAACAAATGAATAAGTAGACTAGTTAATTAATTGACTGATAAAACCGGTGCAGCAGGAAATTATAGTAAAGAAATTACTTTAATTTAATCTCAAACAAAAAAATGTAAAAAATGATTAAAATGCATTATTTTTATTTTTGAGGTCATTTTCAAATCCGGAAATGTAATTTCCACTGGTTTCCTCTCTCAACTCAATTTATTTCTGTCTATTTAAAAAAATCGCTGCATGTGGCATGAACAGCACTTCAGAAATGTCGAGTATACACCGCGAATGCGCGTCATTCTCAAGCATCGCAGTACAATGTTTACAGTCTCAACTCCAAACATTTTCAGTGTTGAACGATGCTTCTGCCTTGATTAATCCACACGTAAATATACACGTGATACCGAGAACGACTACGATGGTTTCGCTTCGCCGGTAATAAATACTCGGCAACGTGAGTTCACATTTTTTTCAACATTTTTCATACGTCTAGTTGCGATAGCACGTGCGGTGGTTCAATCAGCGGTGATTTAGGACGACTGCCGGTAACCGGGGGGTGGAGGGGGCGATTACGTGAAGTCTTGTATTTATTACGATTTTCCGTAATTGCGAAATAATGCGCGCTCCGTTGAAAAATGAGAACAGGAAGCGCGGGCGTTTCGTCGGCAAGTGTTCAACTCATTCGAATTCCCTTCGTCTTGACGTTTTTTTATTATTCTTCCATTTTGTCTAATTTATTTTCCTTCTCTTTCGTCACTTCATCATTTAATCTTGAGAAATGATTAAGAGGTAATAACAATGCGATGAATAAAACGTGAGAATTTACGGTCGATGGAAGAATTTATAATGTTCAGAAATGAAAAATTGAGGGGATGTTCACACCGGAAAAAAAATTTCGTGTTTCGAGAAGAAAAATTAAAAAATAGTATTTGTAAGATTTTTTTAAATAGAAAAATCAACTTTAAAAAAATCTCCGAAGTATTTTTTTTTAAATAATAGTGTTTTATTTTTTTTTTTCTTGATAAACGAAAGAGTTTTCTCCCCTTTATAATTTTAGGCGGAAACTTGAGATTAAAAAATAAAAAAAATGAAATTCCGTATTGACTGAAGACCCATCGACAGTCTGCTGATAAGCCACGCTCGATTCTCTGGTCTCATTTCCCGAGTTTTTCCAATGGAACATAAGTCACGTCGCCCATTAAATCCAACGACAAATACGACCTCGTGCCTCTTCACTCGAAACAATACTCGAATGCAAATAAACCCAACTATTTTCCATTTCCCAGTGATAATGCCAGTTATTTCCCCTCCGGAGATTATTGTTTTTGTGTCACGGAGAGGCAAATGAAAAATTCTTGGCTAGCTGCGTCACAGCTTAATTGAGGAAGGAAGAGGATGAAGAAAATATTCGATGGATAATGTGACAAATCGAGTGATGAATCACCTTACGGAGAAATGTAAACATACAGTAAAGGCATAGTTGAGGCACTTGAGATGGGAATAGGCTAGCGTGGGTGTGGCTCGAACACACTTGGTGATACATAACATTGCGAATACGCTGTTTGCTATTACGTATTGGGGTGAATTGCGAGGATGACAGAATACTTTGTTCAGTGAATGTCGGTAATCAGGTGCTCCAGTTAGCGTCAATGGACTCATAAATCTTAACATGCATGTCATCTCTGGCATGATTCGTCGACAGATTTTATCGCGAAGTGGTTTTATGGTTTTTTTTATTCGATGAAAAGAGATCTAACGCTTTCACGAGGCTGTTCTATTGAGTCTGTACAGGAATTTCTGTTGATATTCGGTTGGGTGCTAGGGGGACTTCGCCCCTCGCTCGCTTCGCTCACCGACACCGGAGGGGCGTCTCCCCGCGCTCGCCGACACCGGAGGGGCGGGTCCCCTCGCTCGCTTCGCTCGCCGACGCCGGAGGGGCGGCTCCCCTCGCTCGCTTCGCTCGCTCCTCCCTAATTTCATTGGGTATGTTTAGGTGGCGCTCATACGAATTTATAGAGGTGGAGATAATAATTAATTCTCAGTGGCATCATCAGGGTCACAGATAAGTATCAGAATCAGAGGCGTCTCCTGAATTTTCAAACCGGTAAATTTATATAAATTTATATAATTAATTAATATGTTGTTATGAATGTCTTCATCCCAATTAGAATGCATTCCATTTGGCATGCCACATATCATTAACTCAATTTATATAGAGATATTGAGCTTTGCGATTTTTGAATAGACATTTAATACGAAAAAAGTAAATGTTGATTTCTTAATATAATTTATTCTATTGAGTTACTAATTAATTTTATTTCGATTTGTTTTTTTTTCAATGGGAAAATAAATAACCGAGATGAAACAACAATTTCCTTCATTTCATCAATTGAAAAAAACAAAAATTGAATAGGTCGTGAATAAAAAACGTAAA